GCGGCGCTCAGACTCCAGCCTCTGGTTTCTGCAAACTTAACAAACCAATTAGAGCCAGAAAAACAACGACTGAATATTCCCCAACCTTAGTGGCTTAGCAACAAACTATTTCTCTGTTTAAATGACACATTTCTGGTTAGTACTGGTCAGTTATGAGACTTTTGATCATCTAAATCAAAATAAACTTGATAACTCTATTTTTATGACTTCATCTTAAAGGTGAACAATTATTATACTTCCTTAAATAGGTTAAGCATGTTCATTACACTTTTTTCTACAAAATAATTCTGAGATGATGAGATTGTAGTCTGGTCAGTTCTGCCTATTTTGAGCTGTTTTAGGGCCTCATCACTTTAAATCCAAATAAGCTGCTTCTGGCCCCCAACACAACCTTTACACTTGCATGTGAAAATGGCTGCAAACAGATGTACAATTATTCAACCGTACATCTTTGAAAAGCAGAAGTGGAGCCTCCTGCCCAACCAACAAGAATGCAGCAGGTGGTTTCTGAATAGCAAGTCAACAACAAAGCACTTGTGTTTTCAAGCAGCCATTATAAAATGGTAAAGCCAGCTGACCAAATGTGCTGGAGCTCCACTGGGGTTGCTAGGTAACAGTGCAGTTATGTCAATTGTGACTTAACAGTGGGTAGGTTTTTCAAACAACTCGTTTTCCAGGCACCAAAACCTTTTTACCAAAAATGTCTGGGTGAAAATATAAATTTTGTGTAATGGATCCCCTTTACAGAAAAGGGGATCCATTTTGTGTAAAGGGGAGAAACTGCTTTCTTCCAGTTTCTTCCAGACTGGAAGAAACTGCTTTTTTTTTCAGTTTTGTTGATAGGTTTTATTTCTTAGAGTTGCTTAGATTGATCAATTCAAAGGATATTAAATAATCCATCCCTGCACTGCCAAAAAATGTTAATTTGTACCTCTTAAAAATCACCAAAAAATCAGACTCGTGAAAAATCATTACAATTTATCGTAATAAGAAAATAAAATACAAATGTGTAAAGACCGTTAACATATATAAGAAAAATGAAAGTAATAAATTTGCTTTAGTAAAATGTCTTTTCTAAATGGTTAGTAAACCTTAATACAATTAACTTACAAAGCGTGTAAAAGACAATAAAGTCCAGATTTAAGAGTCACCGTCACAAGGATTCATTTACAAGATTGAAAAGGTTTAATTAAGCGATATCATTTAAAAGCGTGACTTATTTACAGGTTTAATTCTTACAGTTCTGTTAGGAGGAATAATGCCAAAATGTCTATTAACAGAATTTGTGGAAATATATATATATATATATATATATATATATATATATATATATATATATATATATATATATATATATATATATATATATATATAAAAAATGATGTCATTAATCTGGGGTTCAGCTGTGGAAAGCTCAGTAGAAAACAAGAGGAAGTAAATTAAAAATAAGTTGTTTTCTGTTCAGGTTTGTAAAAGAATGGATTCATGTGAAACAGCATGAAACAGTGAGACTCAATAAATATGAATATTATTGAAAAATTAATTTACTTTAGTAACTCGATTAACTAAGTGAAACATTAGTCTGATGTCTTGAAGCCTTTATTTCTGCTAGTTATAATTTTCTGCTTACAGTATTGAAAAATTACATTTAAGATTAGAATATTACATCCAACTAATAAAAAAATAAAAAGATTTTAACACAGAAATATAGACTTGATGAAAAGTATATTTAATATCCTGCTTAAAAGTTGCAATTTTCAAAATGTGCTTCATATCTGACAAATGAGCCTCATTCGAATTTATTGAGCATGACTTTACAAAACTAATCAACATTGTTGTAATGTTGCAAAGGAGTCCTGTTTGCAAAAACACGCATCTTCATACTCAAGCAGAGGAAAAACAACTCTTAGTTAAAACAAGGGCATATAGTCTTGAGAGGATTTGCATATTTCTTGCGTAAATATATTTACACACTACAAAATCTATGCAACCTTACAGTGAAAGTTGTTTGCACAGTTAGTCATTACAAATACAGATGTTTTTATAGTTTCCTTTGCTTGTTTATTTATTCTGGTTTATTTGGTTATTGTTTTCATCTCCAAGTTTTTTTAATTTGGTGTAATTTGATAAATTACACCAAATTAAGTTTCCAGTATATCAAATATAGCAGGAGTTGATTTGCTAGACTTGTTCATGCCTTTAATCTACACACTGAACCTGTGCAGCATAAGAAGTGTGCAATTCTTTTTCGTAACTGTGTGAGCCTGAACCCGTAGATCAGAGGGTTGATAATCGGTGGAATAACAAGAAACTCTATCGCCATTAAATTCTGCATGTTTTCTGACAACTCCTTCGATCCAAATCGAACGTACAGCAAATCAAACAACACAGATACACTAAAAATCACCAGAGTGAGCAAATGTGGCAAACACGTCTGCATGAATTTATTTCTGTTCTCTTTAGACGCTTTGCAGGATTTGATGAGAAAAAAATAAGTCCAAACAATGAAAACTGTATGGCCAAAATAAAATGTGTAATTAAAAGCAGGAAAAACAACCTGAGCTATTGAGGGAGAACAAGCCAGCTTAGAAATCAGCAAGTTGATGCAGTAGATCTTTGGTATGTGGGAGCCACAGAACCTTGATGTTACTGTTGTCCCTGTGCTGATAAACATGAGGAAAAATGGAGTAATCCAAGCAAAAAATACATAAGCAACGACTCTTTTTGTATTCATCACAGAGTGGTACACTAGCGGACGACATATAGCCACATATCTGTCATAAGCCATCAGAGCGAGCAGCGATAAGTCAGCACAGACTGAAGAGTGAACCATATATCCCTGCAGGAAACATCCAGGAACAGAAATTAAATGTCTGGTGGACAGGAGGTCATGGAGGAATTTAGGATAAAATCCTGCAGTCCCATAAAGTCCATTGATGCACAGATTACAGAGGAAGATGTACATTGGTTCATGGAGGTTTTTATCCATGATAATTGTCACGATTGTCAGATTCACCAACCAAATCACACAGTAACACAGCAAGGTGAGCAGAAAGAGAGTGACTCTGTGGCTGAATGTGCCACTGAACCCTGAAAGAGTAAACATGGAGATCACTGAAACATTATCCATCACAGCAGAACTGCTCTGTCAAACAGACATGATGATGATATTTAGCAGCATCATTTCAGAGTCTTTCCATCTCTCTCATCTACTGCTTATATACTTTTTTGAGACTAGACTCATTTCACAAACCATCTGAACATCCAATCAGGATCTTCTCTCACTCATGACTCACTTAATGGTTGTCTGTATCAATCTTGACTGATAATGTGTCAGTAATGTAGGATAAGGAATGGCAATGGACGCCATTTTACTTCTGCAAACTTTTCAAACTTCAAGATTAAATATGGCAGCTACTGTGACAAAAACATTTTTGTTTTACAAGCTACACTTGTATCAGATGCATAACATGCCCTAAAACTGGCTCAGATGATTTGTCTTTCTCTGCGCAGACAAGACCTTTGACTTGAACTGTTCTTATGAACAGGAGGATTTATGGTGTGTACATGACTTGTGTTTTTCCAATAAGCAAATTGACTTTGGCTCTCAAAGAGGAAAATGGGTGTGATGCACCAATTCAGCAGACTGCTGCAGATAAAATGAATTTTTTGGGTTGATGGTTTTGTAATCCCTTTGACTTTACAGTTACAACTCCTGCGAACTATACAGGAAAATGGATTATTGTGAAGTATTGTGGCATTCACATTTTTTATTTGTCTCTTTTGCTCTCTGTATGGAGTTTGTTTACTATAGTTGGTAAAATACTCTAGTGATCCAAATGATGATTGTCAATAACATCATTGTAATACCTGAATGTGTTTCTATGCAATGAAGTCTCACATGCGACATGGATTCTTTTAAACTGAATCTGTAGAAGTCTCTGAATATTCAATTGAATTAATCATTTTATTTGTTTTAATTGTTAAGTTAAACCTTAGTTTGCCCTTTTGGGAAAGCCTTCATCATGTCTGACTGCAGCAGACAGTCTGAAGCTACCAGAGGAATCATCTTACTAAAGTTTTCTTCTGGTTTTCTGATCACACAGGCGGTTAAATTAAATCACCTTTCAGTGTTTGACCAGTTGGCAAAGTGAAAAGGAAAACATGCTGAAGCCAGATCTTTGGTATAGCTTCAGAAATTATTCACACAAAAATAATTTTCAGATATTAGTATATTCTATATTTTGTTCGATTTTATCTGATGGATTTATTGTTTATAATTCTGTAAACCACTTTGAGATGCTTTTAGTGACTGGTGCTTTATAAATAACATTGATAGATAGATTGATACAATTTGTAAAAAAACATTATAATTAGAAACTTATCAGCAAATGTTATTTGACTTTGGTGTTGATAAATAATTTACACAACATAAATTGTTTTCTTTCTATTAATTTAGGCTTATATCTATCTTCTTATAAGGACAAGATATTGTGTTATATGCTTAAATGTGAATATTTTAAGGTAGAAATATTGCTGTAACATGATCTAAAACCAAACTAAGTATACTTTTCTAAAAATGTGCTAATTATTTTCCTAATATGTTTTTTGGATGGAGCCAAAAAAACACCTTTCTGCTCTTCAGTAATTATTTTATGTTCTTCTCATTTCTCTCAAAACATACAGGCATCCAATGATTTTAAAAACATTTTAATAAATATTCAGGAGAAGAAAACAGACATAATTTAGGCATAAAACAAACCACAGTATCTACTAGGCAAAACGTGCAAGATTTTTAAGGTTTACAACAGACTGATTGTAAAGAAGAAATGCAGAATGTCATTTTGCAAATTCTACATGTGCTTTAGATAACTATAATATAGCAGCATATAGCAAATTACTTTTATGAACTAGATGTTTGTTTAGTTTTCATACAAAGTCTTTCTTAAAACCAGCAATGCAATTCAGGAAATGATACACCACATATTTGCTCAAGTCGTTTATGCCTTTAATCTACTCAGAGAACTTCGGCAGCATATAAAATGCGAGACTCTTTTCCTTAACGGTGTCAATCTTAATCCATAGATCAGGGGATTTATCACTGGTGGAATAACAAGAAACTCTATCGCCATAAAATTCTGCATGTTTTCCGACAACTCCTTCGATCCAAATCGCACGTACAGCAAATCAAACAGCACAGATACAATGAAAATAATAAGAGTGAGCAAATGTGGCAAACATGTTTGCATAAATTTTTTTCTATTCTCTTCAGACGTTTTGCAGGATTTGACAAGATAAAAATAAGTCCAAACAATGAAAACTGCATGGCCAAAATAAAACGTGTAATTAATAGCAGGAACAACAACCTGAGCTATTGAGGGAGAACAAGCCAGCTTAGAAATCAACAAGTTGATGCAGTAGATCTTTGGTATGTGGGAGCCACAGAACCTTGATGTTATTGCTGTGCCTGTCCCAAGAAAATTTAGGTAACATGGAGTAATCCAAGCAAGAAATACATAAACAACGACTCTTTTTGTATTCATCATAGAGTGGTACACCAGCGGATGACATATAGCCACAAATCTGTCATAAGCCATCAAGGCGAGCAGCGATAAGTCAGCACAGGCTGAAGAGTGAACCACA